GTTGTCTGGACACTTCAGACAAAACCAGACACTAGACCTAATCCGATGTGAGTATACTTGGCCAGGAATTCGCACTTATGTCAAGGACTATGTCAAGTCCTGTACTTCCTGCGGCCAAGCTAAGGTTCTGAGACACAAACCATACGGATTGCTAAACCAGTTACCCATACTGGAAAAGCCTTGGAATTCCATCTCCATGGATTTCATAGAGCATCTTCCGGATTCATCCAGCTTTATAGCCATCCTTATCATAACAGACCATCTATCCAAACAAGCTATATTCATCCTGACCCATGACACCATTACCTCTCTGGACCTCGCTCACCTGTTCGATCTCCATGTGTTTTCTAAGCACAGAGTTCCATCCCATGTCACTTCAGATCGAGGAACAGAATTCGTATCGCATTTCTTCCGGTCCTTAGGGAAAGCATTAGATATGGTCCTCCATTTCACATCTGGATATCATCTGGAAGGAGACAGACAAACTGAACGAGCCAACCAAAGACTTCCATGCTGCATATCCGAACAAACCAGGTCCTATTCAACTTTGAAGTACATAATGTGCATACAGATATAAGTACATTTAATGACAAAACTGAAACAGACCAGAAAATCCTACATCTCCATAAACCCATCCGCCTCTCCAGATCTGCCTGCATCACTTCCAGATGCCTTATTCATCACCTCATTATCCTCCTCCGGTTCTGGAGACATCTGAAATCCCTTCTGGATCTGCCCAAATAGCATGGCCTGAAACTCCCTCTGTTGTTGAAAAAACAACTCGAGTCCAGAACTCATCCGGTCCGCTGCAGCCCTACTGCCTTCTCCTGCCTGAATACTCCTCTCCAAAAGTGTGTTCATCTGAGCCAGTTCTGCCACTATATTGTTGGCTGCAGCCACCCAAGCCTGGTCATTGTATTCCGCCTTCATCTCTTCTGGATCTTCCAGAGTTGGACTTTTCTGGTGTCTCTAACCTTTAGCCATTGGAGATGGAGTTTCAGCAGTATGCTTTCTCTCCTTGCCCTTAGGCACCTTGACAGTTCTGGGCCTTCCGGGGCACGTAGCCTTGTCCTTCTGGCAAATATCACATATCCGGACGTCAAAAAAACCCAGATCCAAAAATATGCAGATTACTCACCTGAGCATTGCTATCTGCATCCGTCCATAGACAAGTCTGCCCCTTGGCAGCACAATGCATGCAGGATCCATCCTTTTCTGCAGCCATAGCACAAGTCTTCTCATACGTTAGGAAAATCCATCATAACCATCTGAAAGTCACCATTTCCGCTACTATTTCCCTGCACCTTTTCTCCTCCACTTCCCTTCGGATATTAGGATTCACTTGTGAATGGATCCATTGGAAGTGCATCTCACTGGTCTTAGCCAAGCAGTTGATATGACAGAATCTAAATCTGTCTGCATGGGTTCAAAACCTGCTAAAGATGAAATTATCAAGTGATCACCAGAGTCAAAATCTGTTTCTCTTGGAATGTGCAGGTTTGAAACCTGCCAATGATGAAATTTATCATCTATGATGTTAGCCATGTCATTGCTGCAGTAGATTCAAAATCTGTTTCCATTGAAGTCTACAGGTTTGAAGCCTGTTGAGTGACACATTTTTTGTATTAGAACATGTCTTGGATATCTGCTCATGTACAGCATTTCAAATGTTGATCTTCATTGGTCTTAGTCAAGTTGTCACCAGAGTCAAAATCTGTTTCTCTTGAACTGTGCAGGTTTGAAACCTATCAACGATAACATTTTTATTTTTATTTTTATTTTATGAAATCACACCTTCACATTTTCCACATGAATCTTAAAATGAATTGGAAGGCCTCAAATTTCTGGTGGCATCATGACTTTCTTGGAAGAGAAACCAAAAAAATTCAAAGCTGGTGTATGGAACCATGTTCCACTGCTAGCCTTGCAGCAACTTGTTTTATGATCCACGCCAACTGTTGAACATTGTCCGAGTCACTCTCTATCAATGATATCAGACACTGTCTATGATTCAATGTTCGAGGCATGTTCCAATAGAACAAATGCAGCATTCAATGGGTTTCAGACTGTCAAGGTGCGATTTCATAAAATAAAAATGTTATCATCAGCAGGTTTCAAACCTGCGCTGTCCAAGAGAAACAGATTTTGACTCTGATGATCACTTGACAATTTCATCTTTAGCGGGTTTTGAACCCACGCAGACAGATTTAGATTCTGTCATATCAACTGCTTGGCTAAGACCAGTTAGATTCACTTCTGATGAACTCATTCAAAAGTGAGTACTCAAGGTACATTTATCTGCATTTTATCAGCTCTTTCGATAGCATGGTCAGTGTTGATTTTTTATCCTACTCTTATTGCAAAAGACACAGACTTCCTGCTGGGGCTCTTGACTTCAAGACCTGTTTATCTAACAATTTCCCTGAAAAAGTGCTGATGGAAGACCACCATGGTGGGTTCATGAGTGAAAACTGACAATGAAAGGATCACACAGTGTATTTTTGACACAGAGTTCAATATATGACCAAAGTCTTGATGCAAACTCAAAAGGATAAGTACAATAGCAATATAATTCTTTCTAAAGGTCTTGACTTGGTCGAAGAAGAAAAAGAGCAGATTACACATCAAACTTTCAAGTTTGATTCTAATAACCTGGAGAATTAGGAAAAACACAAATCTATTAAGGCTGAGATTCTTTATTGTGCTTATTCAAGCGATCGCCAGAATCAAAATATATTTCTCTTGAACTAAGCAGGTTTGTAATATATATAATGATGTGTCTTTTGCATTAACTCGTGATTCATCACGTTCCACCATTTTGGATTTCATAGAATAAAAATGTTGTTATTGGCGGGTTTTAAACCTGCACAGTCGAAGAGAAACAGATTTTAAATCTGGTGACAACTTGACCAAGACCAATGAAGATCAATTTCTGAGATGCTGTCTATGAGCAAATATTCAAGACATGATGTTCTTAGAGAAAAAATGCGACATTCAACAAGTTCAAGTTTCAAACTTGTTGCACTCTGATGGAAACAGATTTTGATTCTGTCATGACAGTCACTTAGCTAAACACAACTGTGATCAGCTTGCAAGCAAACCGACCATGAGCAAATTTTTCAAGGTGTGTTTTCATAGAAAATAAAATTTATCATTGGCAGGTTTCAAACCTGAGCAGTCCAAGAGAAACAGATTTTGACTCTGATGATCACTTGGCAAATTCATCTTTAGCAGGTTTTGAACCCACGCAGACAGATTTATATTCTGTCGTATCAACTGCTTGGCTAATACCAGTTGAATGCGCTCCCAATGAACCCATTCAGAAGCGACTTACATACTTTTGCCTATTTGCTGCGCTGCTGACTTGCTTCTGCACACTTAGAACACACTTAGAATTACTTATATAGCATCATGTATCTTTTGACTCTGAACAACTTTCCACCACCATCTTGCAAATTGTGCGACTCAAAGTCTAAAATATGCTATAACTGCTATTCAACACTGAACGCTTGAAAGCATCTAAGCGCAGAGTGTTGCACTATTGTCTAAATACTTCTGCTTTATCTCAGAACTTCTTCAAATCAAACTGGAAAGTTTGATGTGTAATCTGCTCTTTTTCTTCAACCAAGTCGAGACCTTTAAAGAGAATTAAATTGTTCTTGTACTCATCATTCCGAGTTTGCATCAAGACTTTGGTCATACATTGAACTTTTGTGCCTTGAGGTTTCACTTCTGAATGAGTTCGTCGGAAGTGCATCTCACTGGTCTTAGCCAAGCAGTCGATACAACAGAATCTAAATCTGTCTGTGTGGGTTCGAAACCTACCAAATGTTAAATAGCCAAGTGATCGCCAGAGTCAAAATCTGTTTCTCTTGGACCGTACAGGTTTAAAACCTGCCAAGGATAATTCTCATTTTCTAAAAAAATGCACCTTGATATATGCTCATGGTTGGTTTGCTTAAAAGCTCATCAGAGTTGCGTTTAGCCAAGTGGTTGTCATCACAAAATCAAAATCTGTTTCCATTGAAATGCAACAGGTTTGAAACCTGTTGAATGTTGCATTTTTGTCTATTACAACATGTCTTGAATATTTCCTCATAGACAGCATCTCAGACACTGATTTATATGTTTTTTTTTTTTCCCTGTTAGAACACACCTCGAAATGGACACATGCATACTTTCCTGAGAGCACCATCTCACTGGTTGTGTGATTTCATAAAATAAAAATGTTATCATTGGCAGGTTTCAAACCTGCGCAGTCCAAGAGAAACAGATTTTGAATCTGATAATCACTTGCAATTTCATCTTTAGCAGGTTTTGAACCCACGCAGACAGATTTGGATTCTGTCGTATCAACTGCTTGGCTAAGACCAGTTAGATGCACTACCAATGAGCCCATTCAGAAGTGAATCCTCAAGGTACGTTTGACTGCATTTTCTCAGTTCTAGTATTAGTTTCCAATATCCTCCTTGAGTCCAATCATATGTGATCCTTCCATTGTCGGTTTTCACTCATGACCCAGCTGTTAATATCCCAAGACATCACAAACATCATCGGCCCACTATGGCGGTCTGTCATCAGCACTTTTCCAGAGCAATTGCTAGATAAACAGGTCTTGAAGTCAAGAGCCCCAGAAGAAGTCTGATGTCTTTTGCAATAAGAGTAAAATCAATAAAAAAAATCAATCATGGCAACCATACTATTGAAAGAACTGCCTTGACTTTTGATTGGGTTCATTGCAAGTGCATTCAACTGGTATTAGCCAAGCAGTCGATATGACAGAATATAAATCTGTCTGCGTGGGTTCAAAACCTGCTAAAGATGAATTTGCCAAGTGATAATCAGAGTCAAAATCTGTTTCTCTTGGACTGTGCAGGTTCAAAACCTGTCAATGATAAATTTTATTTTCTATAAAAAAACACCTGGTTTTCTGAGAAACCCATCTTAAATGATCTTAGCCATGTCATTGCCATGACTCTGGTCTGCACACTTTTTGAACTCTACACACTCTGAAGGTCTGTCTTTGTCGATCCTAAATCACTCTGAGTAATCATTTGCCCATGGACATTTTCTATATCTATTTCTGTTAAGCCAAGCAGGCTTAAAACCTGTATAATAACATGGTTTTTCTTTTGCCATTAAAACTTGCCTTGAATGCAAGTTCATGAGTCATTGCATCCCACCATTTTGTGTGGTAGTCAAATGCAGATAAATGTGCCTTGAGGGTTCACTTCTGATTGAGTCCATTGGAAGTGCATCTCACTGGTCTTAGCCAAGCAGTCATTATGACAGAATCTAAATCTGTCTGTGTGGGTTCAAAACCTACCAAATGTTAAATAGCCAAGTGATCGCCAGAGTCAAAATCTGTTTCTCTTGGATCGTGCAGGTTTGAAACCTGCCAATGATAAGATTCATTTTCTATGAAAACACACCTTGAAATTTGCTTATGGTCGGTTTGTTTGCGAGATGATCAAAGTCGTGTTTAGCCATATGGCTGTCATAACAGAGTCAAAATCTGTTTCTATTGCAGTGCAACAAGTTCAAAACCTGTTGAACATCCCATTTTTTCTATAAGCACATGGCTTTCATATTTGCTCACAGACAGTATCGAATCCCTTTGTGCAGTGCAATGCAACACACTCACCCTCATCCAACAACTCAGCCTCATCAACAAATCTGTCTTCATTAAATACCTCATTCATCATCACTAAATGTTGATGATTGGAGTATATAACTTTCTCTTTGTCATTGGCACTTGACATAATGAGCACAGCGGTCATTCATTTCAATAATCTGTGGTGTTGGATCAAAAAATGTGTAGACTGATGAGTTCAAATCTCTCATAAGGTGTTCTGTTTTGTACTTGATCAATATGATATTTGCATTGAGGTTATTGCTCATACAGAGCTCGTCTTCTGCCATCTCATCGTCTTTGTACAATGCATTCTCTTCTTCCTCAGTATGCACAACAGCCTACCAACTAGAATCAACTCTGGACATGGAAACAATGGTGCTGTTACAGGCCTATTTTTGTCAACTGGCTCATCTTCATCTATATATCCTGCATCATTGGTGGGAGTGTTACCAGACAGTAGGTTTTTTTTGGCCTTCTTCAGGTTCATGTTCCCACTCTCTCCAGGGACAAGCATTGAGTCGGAGTCAAAGCCAAACTTTGAGAGTTTCTCAGAGAACACATTCTGAAGGTATGTATCATAATTAGTCACTATTAACTGGATTGACTGAACACCACAAACCCGAGTGAGAACCATTGACATAACACCAATCAAGTTCCTGACCAATGTACTGACAACACTGCGGCTCAATTTGAATATGAATTCACGTACATGTTCAATCATAGACTGCCAGTGATGATCATCAACTCGTATACCTTTTCCTGCTGGCACCAGTCCATTCTGTTGCCCAATCTGTCAACTCATCATCGAGCAAAAATATCATATGGCATGCATGAGTCCCCTGCTTGCAATATGTGAGAACAGTTGCTGTAGCACTCCATCCAAACCATCGAACATAAATGTCCTGGATCATTGTAGGGATTCATTTCTGGCTGGGCTTGTAGAGACTGTTTTTACCTTACCTTATGTTGGCACTTTTGTAGCTTATATAAGCAAGCAATCTTTTCACCAGTCACTAGTATGAGTCAGAGTACTCAGCAAGTTTTCATGATATTTCTTCTTCTCTGAGCCTTTAGCCTAGTCCAGAAACCCTTTAGGGTCGAATAGCAGCAAGGTTCTGCAAGACCCAATATTGTTCAGACTCACTATCTGAATTGTTGTACCTTCATCATGTCGGGCAACTAAAGCTATTATTAGCACAGGCAAACAGATTTTTTGTAAAATGATATACTTTTGGAATGTAGGCAAGATGGTGAGCTGCAAATGATGTTGGCATAGACCAAATATATTTTGACTGGTTACCGATGAACATATAGATTGGCCACAGGGCAGCATTACCAAAACTGGCAAGGTGCGTAGAGTCAGACCATAGCATGACTGCTGTGACAACTGTTTCAAGGTTGCATCCAGGCTCACGAGGCTGCAAGCATATCTTCTCATGCTCTTGGAGCATTGCATCAGATGTGTAAAGCTCCGTAATGATGTGTTCAGGTGGTTTATCCTTGTCAGGTTGCCAGAAAAGCTTGTAAGGACTTGTATGAAAGCTTTTTGCAGACTTCCTCCACAAATGTGGCTTTGAGAACCTCTAAAGGCTTCCGATAATAGAGCCCCTTGACTTCAAATATAGGTGCATCATCTTCTGAATCAAACTTTTCCTTCTCACAGAGCAAGCAAATTTTGACGGAGGCTTCATGCCATCCATCAGGCGAAAAGATAGATGAGGACGGGTTCTTTTTGGCATTATCTAGATGCTTTGCTTCACATGCAGGATTAAAGTCGCGCAAATCTTCTCAGTCAAAGTCTTCTGCCAACATAACATCATTGACAAGATGCCTGAGATCCTCGATCAATTTCTGGAGAGATGCATTGTAGAACCAATTCATGAGTTGAAAGATTGTAGTATTAAGAAATGGTGTAAAATAATTCTGATGGATGGCCTCCAGTGATGAGCCAAAGCCTGCCCACCATGGATGTTCGTGTTCAACACCTCCATCAACATGACTGAAGGTTGGAGCATCACAAAGGTGGTCGAAGTAGCTCAGGTTCTCGGAGTCATAGGTGGGAAAGGCATGGGGGTACTCACGGAATAGTTCAAATGGATCATGTTCAGTACACACCCAGTCCACACATTGTTGAATATCATCATCCATTAAATTATCAGCAGCTAGAGCATCAGGCTCAACAGGTGTGGGAAGTACAGGTACAGGGATAGGATTGGGTGGAAGTTTGTCATGATAGCATGCAGGGAGATGCCTTGTCTGTGGTGGTAGTCCAGAAGGTCGGTATCCCATCTGAACATCTGATGATTCATTATACTTGAACTGTAGAATTAGATAAACCTCAATATAACAATTGAAACTTACATTGTTTTTGGCTCTAGTTTGAGCAGAGTTGTGGCCCTCAGGGTCTTGTCTTCATTGCTAACAGTTGGGGAAGTAGGCCAGTCGTCCATGACGTCTCTCAAGAACATTAGCTGTAACTGATCCTCGAGATTTACACCAGTGAGTCAGGTGAATTGAAAGGCCACATTCAGAGACTTCAGTATCACAATTAGGACATTGAACCATGATTCCAAGAAGAAAAAGAAGAAAAATGCAGCATAGGCTGGTATAAGTGAATTGAGTGTTTTCACTACAAAGTGGAGGAGGACTTCAGATGATGTTATGTGTTCCATATCAGGTTGTTTGGCTCGGTTGTGTCTTGTCCTAATGAATGTTCCTTGCTTGAGTTTGTCGCTTTGTCCTCTTGCACCTGACCACTATCATGTTGTCTGAATCTTTGTCCTTATCACCACTAAGAAAGCACAAGAAGTCATCCTATTCAAATGGATCTTCATCGTCATCAGAACTAGGAAAACACAAGAAATCTGCCGATTCTGGATCTTCGTCACAATCAAGCAAACATAAGAATAGCACAGATGAGCTGCTTCAAGCAGTACAAACCAAGCATAGCAAGAAACTGAAAAAGTACATTCATTAGTATATTATATCACATTTGGCTCGAAACTGACAATAATATGCAGATCAGATGATGCAAAATCAATATTGGATCCTATAGAAATGTATCAAAATGTTGGACGAAAGGTCACCTGTGTGCTTGACCTCTTTGGCCTACCATCTGTCACCTTTCACACAGGTCTCCAGCATGATCACAGAGGCAAAATCAGTGCCAATTTATAAGAGCATTCACATGTGTGATCAACCCTCACTAATAGCTACAAGTAGGACTAAGGATATTATAGGACACCATCTGCACTTGTATAATGGCATCCTGGAGTTTGTTCCAAGTCTTCACATGGAGCTTGATACAATCTCTACTGACAAGTTGTCGAAAATCATCTCTGTGGTGCATATATGCGCTCTTTCTAACATGATCTGATTTTGTTCAGATAACAAAGGGGATGAGTGACACACAATCAACAGCATTTAGTTCCGTCAAGCACAAAGGACTCAAGTATGTGCCATTCAACATGCACAGCAAAACAATGCGCTTAATCTGCCAATTCCTGAAGTCGAAGATAAATCTATGCATGGCATCACACATCCACAACTTGCCCGCTGGCTCTGTCCACACAACAAACTTCATGTCTTCAATAGCGATCCAGAGGAGTAAGTTACATCATTTATTACATCTATCAGCTCACTAATACTAAAACATACACAGGAGGGATGGAGAAACTACAGTCAGGCAAAATCAAGATGGCTGCAACAAGTCAGTGTAGGAAATGATTCCTGGCTAGGCTTGCAGAGGCTGTTTTACCTACTAGTATGTTTGCATCTTAGCTTACATAAGAAAGTTACCTTTTCATCAGTTTTACTATGAGTCTGAGAGATCAGCAAGTTTCTATCATATTTCCTCTCCTCTGAGCCTTGAGCCTGGTCCAGAGACAGCTCAGAGGAGAGGAAATATGATAGAAACTTGCTGATCTCTCAGACTCATAGTAAAACTGGTGAAAAGGTAATTTTCTTATGTAAGCTAAGGTGCAAACATACTAGTAGGTAAAACAGCCTCTGCAAGCCTAGCCATGAATCATTCCCTACATCGGCCTACTGGCTTCTATGAAGACAGTGTTTATGACTCGCAAGATAAGACCAAGGGCCTTTTCAGAAATCATGTTGTTGCCTGGGTGAGTCACATGCCATGCTTGCCTTCGCTGATTGTCTATTTAATCTTTGCTCTAGTTTTATGCTTATTTGTATATTGGTCCCTCAGCTGTGATGTCAGAGTCTACATCAAGCAAAGCCTCAAAGCAAGCAAGAAACCGTGCATTCAGCTTATTGTTAGTGACCAAACACATTATCGCAATAGTTCACATTATTGTAAGTTAGTCTTGATGTTCTGTTGACTGCACTTCTCATTATGTATATTCAAACATATTTTACACTCAGTAATACACAGAATTGGACGAATGAGATCAGGACAATGAATCTGGAGGTGTTATTTTGGGCTATCATCGACATGCTCGATGATGACAAGGACCCATGGATTGAAGACACCATATCATGGTGGAACGTGTATGTTCAACCCCATCTGAGTCGTCACTACTGATTGTAAAATTATAGCCACATGGGGTCAGCTGCCCAGGCCAAATTCATAAAGAAGCCATCCGACTCAGAGGATGACTCAGATCAAGAAAATGACATTGCTGATATCAAGGCTCAGTGTTTGGCTCGATGTGGCGCTGTGCCACCACAGAGAAAGGCTCACAATGAAGGTGTGTAGTGCATATAGGCTACATTGCAAGATTCATACTTATAAAAATAGCAAAACAGCCAGCAGCTGCAGCACTGTTTGATGATGATAAGCCTGAGTATCCTTCTTCCAAAAAGACTCCCACTGCTCCACTCCCTCAACCTGTAAAACCAAGGCCTCAGCCTCAGCCCCAACCAGTAGTTCAAGAGTCCAGTGACAAGGACCCTGTACCTGTGATACCACCTTCTACATGCCCAGCATCAAAGAAGATTCAAACAAACTTACAAAGGCCTCTGATCGAGCAGTTAGATGATAATGAACACTCCCCTCCTCTGCCTGCAAAGAAGAAACCTATAGTTGAATCAACCAAGTGCCGTCAACTCCCTGAATCTGACGAGGATTCTGTTGAGTATTGTGTACTGTCACCCTCTACACCCCCTGTGAAGAAGACTTAACCCCACACTCGAATCACTAAGCACCCTCAACCCATACTCACTGATGATGAGGAGCATCCACCATTGTCTGAGTCTTTCTGGCCCCAGCGAAGAAGATTCAATCTGACTCTCCTTTACCCCCACTTACCGAGGATGAAGACGACAAGCCCTCCCCTCCGAGTCCACCACCACCTATGAAACTGGCAAATCAAGTAGTGCCTTGCCCTGCTGTACTTACCTCCCCCCAGCCTGCTGCAACAAAGGCCCAGGTCAACTTGAAGTTAAAACTTGCCCTTACTAATTAGTCATCCATCGAGGACAAAGACATCACTCCCGATGCACCAGCTGTACCAAAGAAAAAAGGGAAGAAGACCTCTCCTACTGAAGCCACCAAACAGAACCTCCTCGCACAAGAAACAGACGAACGGCTTCTAGGTGTCTTCACAAATTTATATTCCAACCTGCTGTCTTCATTCACATACTTATGCTTTACTCATTTTTGCTTGCACTCATCATTTAACGCACTTTGTTGTATTTTAATATTATGCTGGAGCTAATAGATTAGCCTGCATGGCCTTGCACTATACTACCTGGCTCGTGTGACCATATGAGCCCATGCATACACCTCAAGTCTTGACAATCCTTCCAAGCCATGGTAATCCTCTCAAGCCTTGCATGTCTATAATAGCCTCTCCTTCATATGAGCCTCATGTTGCATCTCTTGACTGAAGTATTTCCACTCACAGCACTGCAAGCCTCATACAATCGGCCAGGCCTACAGCCACCTCATATGGCCTTGTTAGGCCAGTCAAGGCCTGGGCAGTTTTGCTGATGGAGAAGCAAACATGCCAGTCTGACATGGCATGTGACATGTGCATGAACTTTGGTTAAAACTGGTTGCATATTGTTTGCACATTACAGAACTTACAAGCCACAGCAGTACTCTTCCAACTTGAAGTTGGAATGTGGATGACATGCCTGGCACAGAACAGATTTGGAGGTTGGCATTGAAATTGAATTATTTCATTACTCAACTGACTCAGACCAATCCATTACAGTAACCTCGACAATCTGAACTTTACTGCTTCCCCCTGGGCCCAATGCTCGGCTGCTCATTATTATAACAGTGAATTTGTTGTCATTCAGGTGAGTTACTCTAGACTTGCACCTTCGAAACAGAACTGGTTAACTGACTATATCATTGCTCTGTAGGTTCAGAATCAGCTTTACCGCCTACCAATTGACCTTCTCAAATGATGCTCCCCAGTATTCACAAATTTGTTTTCCTTACCTTGCACTGGTATTCATAGTGAGGAGGGTCTTACTGATAATGCCCCCATTGTGCTTCATGGACATTCCAGCACAGATTTCAACTGTCTTCTCAATCACCTTTCTGGAAAGTGCGATATTTTATTCAATTCTACCAGTTTTGCTATGGATTTCTCTCTATTTCGTACTAGGCCTCAGGACACAGAACAAGTCAATAACATTGTAGAAACAACAATACAGCAAGGCACGAACAAGGCTCCTGACTGTATCTATAATCATTGTAAGGTCACGCGTTGCCTAGTCTGCTATACTTGAGACGACAAGTGCATTCGACCCTAAAGGGGAAGCGAATGCAGCAAGGATCTAGAGGTATGCGCCAAAGCGAAGCACGAGAAAGTGCAGGTGCACGCAAGGCGTGGGAACGCGCGCATGTATTGCACAAAGTGCGGGAAAGCGCACGCGCGTATGTGGATAATGATAGAGACTAAGCTTAAGTGATGATATAATACAAGATAAGAGATGTGAGAGTGCGAGATGTAAAAGAATAGATTTCTACTGTGGCTTTCTAGGTAGTAAGTGGGTAGCCAGAAACTAGTAAGTTCAGGTGAAAAGTAAGTAAGGTAATAGTATGTACTGCTGGCGCTTATATATGGCGCCTGTTACGCACTCAAATAGATCTGTTATGCGGAGCCCTAAGAGGGGCGTCGTCCGCTAACGTTCGTGACGTAACCGGAAGGGTCCGGTGTAGCGACTGAGACTGGCAACGACGAGTCGGCAGATATCAGAGACGCGCGTGTCACGTGACTTCTAAGACGGATGTCTTCAAAGTCACTGACGTTCTCAAGGTAAGGACAGTCTTGTCTGAACGATGAGTAGTCGATCGAGGTAGACTTAGGCGCGATGAGCACCTAAGAAAAGATACTAGAGACTGAAGCTGAGGGGGCTTCAGAGGGAAGTATGTTCGAGGGAAGATTGAGTAGATTCAAGTTAGGGAATCTAGTACAGAGTGACCGACTACTTATACTAAGTGGAAAGGGTTAAGGGCAAGGCTACCGTACTGTAGGTAAGGGCAAAGGGGAAACGGAAAGGGTATAGGTATGCTGGTAGCAGAGCCTGATTAGTGATGTAAGGTCGAATGCGGAATGAGACCGAGAAACGTTGGAACGAGCCAACGGTAAATGATACAATGTGCAGCATGCACGAGTCAAAGGAAAGATAAGGAAAGCCACATTGGTGGCATGAGTCAGAACGAGTCATAGCCCAAAGGCACGTGCGCACGTTGGTGCGATAGGAGGGGGATGAGGGACGGGAACGGTCCCGAGGATCCGGTCAACGGATAGTCGGTAGAGAAGTACGAGCCGGAGGCATACGAGGGCGAGGACGAAGGGAAAAATGATAGGGGGGCCATGTAGCCGATGTTACTTGTAACAGCGCCTAAGCGCTGTCATGCGGAGCCAAAGTGCTTCCAAGTAAGGTATGTAAAGATATATATGAGTGAGAGCCCATGATAAAAATAAAGGTGAAACAATATGCAAATAAGGGAAATGGAAATATACGCACTAGAGAGCTTGGTGGACAGTGGATGGATGCTTTTGGATGGCTGGCGCTATATGGTGCTCAAGCACGGGAGCACGCACGCGCATATACATCGTGAAGCGCGGGAAGTGTGCGTGCATGGTGTGTGGGAAAGCTGTGCCTCATATAGGAATACCTGTGGATAGCACACAGAGTGATGCTACAAGTTCATGCCATGTACTCCCTAGTGAAAACTACCATATCACACAATGAGAGGCATGAGTCTCTACAATGTACTGGAATCTGTGTCCACCCTTGTGTCACTGCTGACTATGAGCGCTGTCTTTGATGTCAGCATCGGAAGATCATATGCCATCAAGCAACTGGAGATGCACCCTGATTTGGACTTGCTCCAGTTTTGTTACCAGTTCAAAATCCTTCCATGGTTGACTCCTGCATTCAGAGAGCTCATTTCCCTCCCCATCGAAAGCCTTGAACCCATGGGCATAGCAAAAATTCCCGCATACATTTTACATGCACTAATTCAAGTTAAGCATCAGATTTCTACACATTGACTCACCCTGGCAGCTGTTGTTCCCCCTGCTATGGCTGGGATGCTTTGCCATACACCATTGACATGTGCCGACGAGTGGGAAACAGGTTGGAAAGCTGGGCCAGCTGAGATGTTGCAACACCCAGATATCTTCTATTCTGGCCAGGATATCCTTGCGCAACTTGAATCAGTAGAGATCCCTCAAGTCTGCAGTGATTGCCAGGAATTTTCCGTCGTAAACATGAAGGAAACAGGGTGTCTCTTGATGGAAGATGGATTTGTCGAGGATGAGCTTGAGGAGCTGAGAGCCTGGTTGATGTCTCATTGATTTAATTTTCAATATGATTACAATATGGCATAATTAGTACTTTCGAAACAACAGTCGAGTCTGTGCGCGATTTCTTTCTGTGTGCATGCGCGCGATTCTGCTGTGCGTGCGTGAAAATTGTGCGTGCACGTGATTTAATTAAGTTACGTTTGGGCCGCCATATAATAGGTGAATGTATATGTAAATAGATACGTACGAAGGATGCATCGTGATATCGGCAAGACGCAGCGAATCATTGTCCTGGTGACTGTGCATTATAATCACTGTCAAGAAAACGTAACGAGGATTGCTTCCGTCTCTTGCAAGTCAACTCCAGAGCTGATAGGTAAGACGTCAACGGTTAGGGGCCCACTGACCCTGCCGTCGCTAGTCTCGTACGTCTGACCTCCCCAGGTTAGATTACTGGTGTCGGAGGCATAGCTACAGATAGTTTTAGCATCCAGGCCGCAATGATGATGAAATCAGCTCATACCCAATTTTCAGCATCTTCACACTCGTATTATTGGGAGGACGTCCGAGACCCGTGAAAGAGAAATCGATGTGAGTGGAATTCCTTGCACCAGCGCCGGAAAAGTACGCGACCGTGTTTATGAAGACAGCTTTTGAGAGGCTTCCATGCTCGAAAAATGCATAGCCCGATACATGATCTTCATCGATGGAGATTTCGACTGCCTGCGTGGTCCCAGATGACCCGATAGCCTCTGCGACAATGATAGCTGCGTAGTATGCTGGCTGTACGTGCGGTGCCAGCGGGGCAACCGGTGAACCGTCAAGGATCGAATAGTTAAGCGTCACGGGTTGAATCTGCTCATAAGGGGATTAAGTAACGCCGCATTGACTTAGATGAGTACTGACCAGATTGTACTTGTAGCCAATGCCCTCATGGAAGTGCATGCGACTAATACCAACTTGTGTGGCATACAAAGTGTAGTCAAGTAACCAGAGGGCAGCGCCGGCTGTATTGCTGACATCTGGTGAAAAGGACGATCACATGTAAGTTATTGCGACCATTGTTTATGTTGTCGACCTTACTAGGTGCACCGTGGCAACTGATACCTATGAACAAGTTAGCAAGTCTAGTGCTGTCGAACAATTATCAGACAAAAACTTACTGTTTGTCTCCCCGAGGATGTACTTCAGCCCGTTGGCCAAGGTCGCCTCAATATCTGGGATAAACGCGGATAAATTACCACGGATATAGCTCTTGGTCATTAGGTCCTGCAGCGCAGCTCCGCTGCCGGTACAGAATGAGCCACTATAATGGTGCTGCGAAATGCTAACCATGGGATTCAGCACGCCATCCACATTCTGAGGTTGTGTTCGACATACGTCTCGATCAGTTGACCTGCAGGAGATTCAAGAATGCCCAGATTGAATATAGCTTGCGGAGAGAAACCGCTAAGGTTGTTGTGAGAAGACCCAGCGAAAGCGGCTCCGATTAATTTTGTGCAAGATAACTTGGAAAGGTTGGCTGTTATCGATACGTTATATGCAAATTCCTCCCACCTTTATACCGGTCAGCACTAATGAGGAAGTCGTCGTCATAAACTTACTCAGAGACATATTCTTGTACATTCCAGCTGCTGTTACGGCTCTTATGCTTGTGGTAGAGATCAGCCTCATTGCCAACTTCGATAAACTTCAGATCAATGTGTTTCTCTAGGACAGCGGGGGAAGAAAATGTGTTCATGAGCGCGACAGTTTCGAGGTAGGCTGCCGTGAGGTTGTATTCCCTCAAGTTCAAGCCCCAGTGAACTTGCGTCCCTGAAAGTAAAGCAAGTTAGTCACTTGAGAGTCTCTGAAAAGTTAAATTACCGTTGGGAAGATGAGAGATGATATCATAGAAGCCTTGCCCAACAGTTATATTAGTAGCTTCTGGATATGGCGTGATTATGCTTGAAGGAGGGAAAATATCTTCTTCGTACTATGCACCAGCTAAACACACGAACCAATTCACATTAAAAGAAATTCACCTCGACGTCATGGCTGAAATCAGTATGGTCCTCCGAGTCAGCACCTATTCTCACGAAGGGAGGGGTATTCGTAATTTGGATAAAGTTATCAAGGACGTTGTTGAAGAATGTATTTGGTTCTGTCGTCCCTGCCCATTCGTTCCACCTATCTTGCTCGATTGAAAGCGAAACGAGGTTCCCCTTAAGTGGTGCTGCTCCCAAGGGCGCAGTAAGAGGAATTGTGACCTCTATTGCCGAGACGATTGGAACGACGAGCGTGATGAAGTGGGTACACCACATCATAAATCGCGGCATGGTGTCTTGGTTCTGGTACAAGCCAGGCTACTAGAGTGCAACTCCGAGATCCTATATACGGTTTCAGGCGGGATAACGATCCGATTGGCCGTCTTCTCATGACCGGTAAGGTGTCGTGCGTGGAATCGGTACAATTATGCATCACGATGAGGACGCGAGTAGACTAGTATGCCATGCTCCGAAATCTGTTGCAATTAGCGGGTTTTCTCTTTTTGGAGGTTACGAGACCACGTCATAGTAGCAGATTCGATTCACGATCGGTGACAATTCCGGGACCCTGTTGCAAATTATGACATCTGCGCATTCTTGATGTTGTCATTCCCGAAGATCCAGAGTTTCCGACCGTCCGGACGTTTGAAGAAAAGCTGGATATTATCAAGTAATGGATGAGTCCAGATGTCCAGCGCAGGGGAGCATGTGTTTGTGTATCACAGTGCTAGCGAACTGGAGAGTGTAGCCGCATCCACACAATGCAATGCTGTCAAGTTTCATAAACAAAAGCCGAGGCGAACAGGATAGACTGCCGAAATTCTCAGCAAAAACAGCAAGCGTCATTGAAAGACCTCCGCAAGAACAGCAAGCACGATTACAAACTCCAGAGCGGGAAGACCGTCAGGCTATCGACATTTCAAGGGTCTTGGGATTTCCGGAGTGCTGTTCAACGCTATTCACAATTGGTCACTATGTACGGTGTCTCCGAATTATGGCAGTTGCCTAAAGTAGTATGCTGATATAACCAACTCCGTTCTGCTAAGGTTAGCTCCGAGCAACTCTCTATCATGGCAGACGTCCGTGCCCTACTTAAAGCCAAACGCCAGGAAGCACGAGTAACCCATTCACTAGCATCTTATACGACAACCGGACAGTTGCGATGCTCCGTTTGCGGAACAAATATCAAGCATGCATCTGCTTGGGACGGTCATCTCGGCAGCAAAGCACACCGTACGAACGTGTCTCGCGCTAAAGAAGAGGAGAGGGTTAGGGAACAGCGACAGGCTGCACAGGAGGCTAACGTCGCTAAAAGAAAGGCAGTCGAAGATGTCCCTGGCGGAGATGCAGCCAAGAAGCAGAAAACCGAGCCTGCTACCTCAACTCCTCGTTCTAGCGCGTTTCCGTCAGACTTTTTCTCTGACCCCTCAAAAGCACCACCACTATCCCTTTCAGATAACTCGGATGACGAAGAGATCGACTTTTCTATAGTTGCTCCCGCGAAGGAGTCGGGGCCACACACTCAGTCTGTTGTCGTTACTCAACCAGAGCTTGACCAAGAGTGGATCAAGTTCCAACAGACGGTGATTAATGCGCCTGATGCACACGAGACATATGACCGGGCGACTGTATTTGCAGAACCGGATCTGGTCTCTGACGTGGCAGAAGGTTTCCCTCCCCTGCAGGGTGAGAAGGATCCTCCAGAGGTTGAGGCTAAATCAGATCCGGACGAGGAAAGGCGGCGGAAGGATCAGGATGAAAGGGAAATGATCATGGACCGCTTATTAGATGAGGAGAGGGCACAGGAAGAGGCAGACATGAAAGTCAGTGTACTGAAAAGTAGGTTGGAGGCATTGAGGATAAAACGAGAGGCTGCACGGACAAAGCCAAAAATTGCGGTGTAGCAAGGTTTTCGATAACTATTTATTTCCTCGATCGACTCTGATCATCACATGTTCTAGGTGTAATATACCATGATTTGATTGCACGGCATATATTTTGGCGTCTGGCCAGCGCCAGTGCTCCATCCGAAATATGGCCCTCGTCCACGCGCACTTGTTCGCACATTTATTTTTTAACACGGACTATCGTCTTACGCTTTCCCCCATCGCAAGTGAATTCAGTGCACGAATGAAGACTTCCACTTTCAATTATAGCTAGCATTGCTTGCACGAGCAGATCATTTCAAGACTCGAAAAGCTAATGCAGATTAACCTTGACATTCCCGCTTCCCTTTCACAAATACTTGGCTCAGAAAGTACGAACTTGTTCAGTTTCTTGACAATGTGATTACATCTCCAGCCCTCCATCCGACATTCCGCCGACACCAAACTCGTTTGAAATCGAAATTCCCGAGTCAGCAGATATGCAATGATGATGCGTTGGACGTCTGTGGCCGCTTGGATTAACGCGAGTCTGAATTATCTCGATCGTGGCAGGTACGACATGCTGCAAAATAATCAGCTGTAAAGGACAGCAACCTGATAGTTAGGGGACGGACCGACACGTTCAAAATCGATGGCGGAGAACTATGTGCGACTTCAAGATGTACTTTCTTGTGTACGGGGGCGCCCTGTGCCTCGCGGGATTAGATGTCTAAGCATCTGGAAGCACACATGTGGTCCTCTCGATCAGGGTTTAATAGCTGCCAGATGAATCGCCCGCGAAGTAGAAGGTGAAACAATACCTCCCTGTAATGTGGCTCACCGCAGATCTAAAAGCCACCATAACTTCCAACAACGGCCGGAATGTGCGGACCACGTGCCGGGCTACAATGCTAGAACAGATCACATTGCAACATGGCGCCCAACAACTCATGCACGCTCATTGTTTTCCGGGTATGTCATAATAGCGCTGGAGATTGATGTGAGGGATGGAGGGAGGAGAGAAAGAACAAGCAGGATGTTGTCATAGACGATTGAGTTTTATATTTGGCCATTTACGCTCACAAGTACTGGCATAAGCTCAGGTAACTGCTAGTTCCTCGATATGGCTCAACTACCAATGAAACAAAAACGTCTCGAATCCAATCAAATGTCCGAAATCAAATCAAAGCTCGCAAACTCGCTGGTAACAGGTACGCATGAGTATCCGAAGACTTATATGCCACTATATCAGAAGGAACGGCATTCAGAGACCTTATATGTCGTTTGTACTCTCCCCAAATACATCCTGCAAGCCGAATACTATGCACGTGCCATGCTTGCGCTGATCGTGACAACACCTTAGGTTCTATCGTCGTACTATCCAGCTGCGGGGGTAAGACAACCGCATTACCAGACGCAAAGTCGCCCATATCATGAGACTGGGGGTAATACACCCGCTTCTGTCTCGGTCATGTTGCCCACAATACGCGCAAGTGGGGTAGCACACCCATGTAAAAACGCGTCCGATATTGTGGCCAAAGCCCCGCGTCGTCAGAAGACAGGCGCTGAGCCGCTCGTTCCACGATTGAAGCTGGTGGCTCGGTCATGTGCGAACAGCAGCACAGCGGACAATCTTGGCCCTTGGGGAGATGAGTTGAAAGTAAGTTTGATCTGACGTGTGAAAACTTGCAGTGGCTATAGGCATAATATGTCAAGATTAATTGGACAGCTTATACTTTTGGCTTTGGTATATCTGCTCCGTCCGACGGTACCTCATCTTGCATCCCTACCCAACGTCTCCATTCTAGTCCTTGCTTGTGAACCATCATCAGGGCCAGCATCACCGGTAGATACCACAGGTAGTTTTGGAATGATATCCTTGCTTCCTTTTCTCCACAACGCCGCCACCAGGCCCAAGAACCACGAATGCAAATTGCGTTCGGGACTAAGCTGGTGATAGCAAAGGCCCACGTAGTCAATCCTGACAGTGGGAATAAGATAGAACAAATGGGGACAAGGAGTAAGGAGTGGCGCAGAGCCACGAGAGCATTCTGTTGTGGGTTTAGCACGCACAGCATCTTGTAGCCTGCTTGAGCGTAGGAACCTCGAATAAAATGCGACAATGAGTTGAAGTGAGGGAATTGCCAACTGTAGAGAAGCATGAATAGTGCGAACGCGCCAAGGGGGTTATCAATCATGGACATGTCTAGTGGTGCCTCTGTGAAGTACGAAGGAAGGAAAAGGTGAATTGGGTAATCTGCAGATGGGAGAATTTTTCCACCACAGGCCGTCCAACCCATGACCGGCGGGATACCTCCAACGACTGCGCCCACCCAGGTATTGGAGACGCTTTTACGTTTTAACCAAGTGTATGCCGCTGCATAAAGTACGATGTTGGCTGCGCCTAGACATGCTGTAATTGGGCTCGCCATGAACCACAGTACTGCAGGACCTGCTACTCCTGTCACAGCGGCAAACCCTGCAGCGTGCAAAGGGGAAATGGCTCTGCGAACCAACGGTCTTTGGCGGGTGCGAGCCATTTGAGCATCATAAGGTATTTCTTGAAGTTGATTCAAAGTATTCGCCGAGGCTGAACACAGGGCCGTGCCAACAGCTGTGGAGAGAAGAATTGGGACCGTCGCAGGAAGTGGTGAGAGAGCTACTCCTGACATTGCGGTCAATACGACCAAGATAGTCAGGCGTGACTTGGCAAGCTGCGCGTAAATCCTCAGTAGGCGTCTCGGGGTGAGTACTTCAACTTCTTTGAAGCCAGCGGGGGTGACGTGAACTGCATCTGGTTCTGCAACTGCATGTGCAATGCCCCGGACGCGAGTGATATCAGAAGGCTTTAGCCCATCACTACGAGAGGACCACAGTTGATTGTGGCAAAAGAAGGAGGTAAAATCTCGACCCGCAGAAGACACGGTGTACGGTCTACTGAAAGCCGCGGAGGCCAGAAACCTTTGGCTAGCGAGAGAGCGTGATGTACTTGACGTGCGGAAAATAAAAAATTTGCTACATGACTGGAAAGCATGTATTTTTCTCATTTCTGAATACAGAGGAGTGATTTGTGAATGAGCTTGCTGTCACGGATAGCCGCGACCAACTCACCTGCACCAGCGCACAGACCAAGGTTTCAGTCAGCGGAGTTTGAACGCCGCCTCACACAACGACTCGTTACACGTTTCTAAAAAGTTTACAACAAGCAGCTTAGTGAGCTCTTGTAATTGCACCTCAGCATTGTCGCAAGGTCCCGTCTTAATACCTTGCCATGCCTGGCACACATCTCCTCCCACCAAATCTTCTAAAACTATTTGCACCTCGACCGCCTCTTCCCTATGCACGACCAGTTGGCAAAGACATTCATCGTGTAACTTCCAAAAATGTTGATGGTGTTGCAAGTATCCTAGCGCGACTCAAGGAAGCCACAACTGCAACATTAATCGCGGGGAATGGTGAAGTTGGAGACGGGATGGAAGAAGGCGAGGAACCTGCATTCACACTGGCCGAAGAAACTAAACGGCAAATTCGGAGAGAGGAACGCAAAAAGAAAAAGACAGAAGAGTTCAAGATCGCAAAGGAGACCTGTGAGTGGTCATTTTTGTCGACGCGATATAGGTCCGCTAAGCATTTTCATATTTCTAGACAAGCCTGCAGATGATGCGGAAGCCATTGGAGACCCATATAAGACGCTCTTCATATCACGTCTGGTTAGCTTCATCATCATGTCAATTCTGTGCGTTTCGCTCACGTTTTGATGCAGAATAAAAATGCAACCGAAAGCGACCTTCGACGCGAATTCGAGAGTTTTGGCACCATTGAACGGGTAAGGCTTGTGCGGGACCAGAAAGGCCGTTGCAGAGGCTACGCATTCATCGTCTATGAACGCGAACGAGATATGAAAGGTAATGATGGTAAAAGTGTTGTTTCTTTCATTTGTACTGAGCTCTTTTTAGCGGCTTACAAGGAGTCTGATGGTTTACATATCATGGGCAAACGCATACTTGTCGATGTCGAACGTGGTCGGACTGTAAGAGGGTGGAAACCCCGTCGTCTTGGTGGAGGTCTTGGCGGACGCCCCAAACCAGTCGAACAACCCGTATTGCCCCCTCCAAGAGTTCCCGGTGGACGAGGCGGTTTTGCAGGCGGTGGGGGAGGGGGTAGGGGTGGAGGATTTGGCGACCGGGGCGGATTTCGTGGCGGTCGCGGTGGCGGATTTAGAGGGGGCGGTGGTGGCTTTGGGGAACGAGGTGGCGGTTTTGGAGACCGGGGCGGTTTCCGGGGTGGAGGTGGAGGTGGAGGTGGCTTCCGGGGTGGACGTGACGATGGCTACAGGTTGGTTCAAACATTCAACATAATCTTCATTTGTGACTTATCTCTCTACAGGGGTGGTCGAGGCGGGGGCGTTGGTTACCACGGAGGTGGATTTGGCGGTGATGCTCCTGCTAATGGCTTCGGCCCTCCAGGTGCACAAGCTCCTGGTGGTCCCGGTGGCTTTGGCGGTCCTCCACAACAAGGCTATGGACCACCAGGAGGCGGCTTCGGACCAGGTAGAGGTGGATTCCGTGGAGACCTCAAACGTGAAGGACCTGGTGGGTATGATGACAGGGACGCCAAGCGACCGCGATATTAGTTGCGGCTGGGTGAGATACGTCCAGTTTTTTTTCGATTCTCTCGAACTTCTTGCTTCAAGTCCCATGACTTTGCGCTAGGTGGGGTGTGTAAGTACTGAACGTTTTTGTTGTCACATTGCTCTGCAGCCTTTGCGTAAGTATCACTATTTTATTATTAGGAGATGGCCTATTTTTATGGGTGATGGTTAAGACAAGCGTGAGTGCTATACTGTTACGACGGCCTTTCAGTACTTGAGCAATAGCAGTCATGATGTACAGATGAGAAGCGTAATATGAACTATTATGTTACCATTACATGCTACGTTTTATTCGGAGGATTTTCGGGCCAATCAGCGCCCGCCTCAGGGTTCGATCTGAGATCACTGACAGGCCCGTGGTTACGGTCCCTATACAGTACTGTGACGGTAAGTACGTACCCCTTGGTATCGCTGGCGGTGGGCAACCTTGTGCAGCATTCAGTGTTACAGTGTCGATTAGATGTTATGCGTGTCATCTAACTCAACTTTGCTGACTTCATATACAGTACTTGTGATCAACGGATCGCCGGTAAAACCACTGGACTATCGTCTTCTTCGGGAGAGAACGTCACGGATCACAGGCTAGCACAGCCTCAGGCAAAATGTTGACATGTCCGATCGGAAGTCGATCCTTTGATCTTCAAAAATCTTTGCTGCAAAACATATTTTTGGGGTCCTTGGTATGTTATTATGTAAGTATTATGACCACAGACAGTGATTCATGCAGTACCCTGTTTCTTGAGCCGAAACTGTCCGCGTACTTTTTCTATCGAGAGACCCATGGAATGTTATTCGCGAAAAAGGTTAGTTCTCATGTTGATCATTTCTTCCGAACTGCATAGCAACTCCCGGTGCCGCAACTTTTTGGTTCAGCCGCACCTACCATCAGTCTGTTTCAGAGACCAGATAAGAAGCTGAATTCTAAGTGCCAGCACACTAGATCGTGATGGCAGCTTCGGGTGCGGTAAGTAAGCTTTGCTTGCTTGACAGACAACGTACAAACATGCGTATCTGCCCGCCAATGGTAGCAGTTCCTGGGACCCATCAAAGATTCAACTCAGCCAGCTACCCGAATCCGACAGATCATTCCAAACTAGTCATCATTGCAAGCAGGATTACAGCATACGGACATGACCCTACCCAAGGATTCCGCTCGTTTAGAACACTGACCATGGAGCAAACTTTATAACGCTCTCCGCACCGCGTTCAAGTTTATCTTACTCTCTCAAACTTGCCAAAGGGTTTTCTACGCAGAACATCAAATTTTATGGATGCGTAGTTCAACCGTCGCAGCACGGAAGTAGACATCTCCCCCAACTACGGTTCCTTGGTTGGTACCCCGATCCGGTGAGTTCCATTATTTTGGCTTTGATTCGTACCTTCCTCTCTCCTTCCATGCGTGAATCTTCCTGCGCGACCCATCATTCTCCTTTCTGACTTGCCTTTTGAGTAGGCTGCGTGATCGCCTGATCTGGCGTACGATTGGTTTGCCACCTCTCTGACCGTTTCTGGCTACCTTGTCCTTACAAGGGCCTGAATTGCGTCTCATTCAATTCAACAACTTGACATAAGGGCAATCGATCTCCGGTTTTTACAACTGCACCAAAAGCCGCCCAAATAAACAAGTAAAAGGGATAACCTCCCTTGCTGCGATCGTCTGCTTTCTGCTTCCTACCTCTGCCGCTGGACTTGGAAGCTGGGTACGAAACCTGTACTCCAGAGCGCATTTTGTGCGTTCGTCTCTGGATGCCAATGGCACGTGCAGGCTATGTTGGGCAGGATGAGCTGCCAAGGCATCCTTTACACTGCGAAAATCTCCATACTTCGTCAGACTGTTCGCCTTCTCCCATTAGTTCATCAGCTCAGTCTCCGGTCAATGTTGGGGCCGTCCGACCCAGCTCCGCGTCGTTATCAGACAGCAACGAGGCAGATTCTGGCAAAGTCCCATCTTCTGGTCCAGAGAGGTCAAAGTCCATCAGCGGCGTAGGTGCCAAGTGGGAAAGAGAGAAGCGGAAGCGTTCACGTGTCACTCCTGAACAACTTATCCATTTGGAACGCTTCTTTTCGATGGACAGAAGCCCCACCGCAGCGAGGAGGAAAGAAATCAGTGATTTGTTGGGCATGCAGGAACGACAAACACAAATATGGTTCCAAAACAGGTCTGTAAATTCTCTGCAGCGCACAAGCACCGCTGATAACGGCCCCTCAGACGCGCAAAGGCCAAATTGCAAGATGGCAAGAAGGGTCGAGGGGACGGCGCTGAAACCCCACCAGATACTCCCCCAGAATTGGCGACCGGATATGAAGCAGAGTTACATAGCCTCATACATGAAGACGAACGTAAGTTGCCAAGCTTTTGGAGCCTGGTTTCTCTACTTATGCCGTCTTTGTTACCAGCGGTGACTATCATTCCATGTAATGATTTGTCTATAGGGACGTGGCGTCGTATTGCAACCGCTGTAGGGAAGCATGATCTCGTGGCCTACCTGTGTGATGGCAAGCGGTGCTTGACGTGGTTCATCCACTCGGCGGGCTATGGCTTTAAGATGGAAATTCCTTTCGATATTATCGTTCATACAGAATTTACCAACGCGGCGCCAGGCTCAGGACTGGCTTCATTTATCCTTTCACAACCGCCAACTTTTTACCTCGAGTCCTTCTCCAGTCCTGGGCCTACCCGGCAGTGGAAAAAATGTGCGGATTGGACGGAAGGACAACAAGCCACTAAGATCCTGCGTCATGACTTGATAGGTTCAGCGGTACAGCTTGCACACCTTCTGCGTCATCTGAATGCCCATGCTTCTGGGTCGGATATTCGTCTTCATTCACCGTCCTATTACTCCCAGGAACCACCGCCACCTCTCATGGAAGTCCCCCAACCTCCCATGGCAGTTTTAACAGGACCCGCATACCCGTACGGTGGAGATGTCAGCGACTCTAGAAGGGCAGAAGGTCCTGTCCACATAAGGAGAAGATCCTTTTCAGGTGGTACCATGCAATTGAGTCACATGCATCGCCCTAGTCACCAGCCTCTCGCTGTGGACTTGCCTGCCAATCCGACCCCAGGGCCACACTCAGCCCCGTACGCTTCATCATCCTTCTCACCGTATTCTAACCGTAATCACCCGTCCATCCACCTATCGTCTCATTCACCGATGTTCTCGGAATATGCAAACTCCGCGTCATCGCATAGTGCATCGCAACAATCTCAATCCCCAGTCGATTACGGTCCAACCGATACCCATAGTGTCCCCCCACGTTCCTATTCATCCGCACCAGTGCATCATATGTATGATGGCACTATGTCGATGACTTCTCCATACTCTAGCAATGGACCAACCCCTAGTTCCTCTTCCCAGACACCATTCGTTTCTCCTTCGCCGCCGTTATTGACAACTCCATTTTATCCTCCCACAAATGACTACAGCACACGAGGCTGAGCCTCATTAACTTAATACCTGGTTTACTATATGAATCTGAGGTGAACCCTTTGATCAAAAATTGTAACACCCTGGACCTTTGCGCTACTTCGCATGGGTTGCCCAATAATTTTCGCCTTCATTTGCGGTACAAACTTCATTCACCTTCACTTTGCAAGTTGACTTTTAACATTTTAATACCCTGCACCGCTTCGCTTCCACATCTTTGGTACGGGGTCTGTCATTCCACGCTCCACGGGAAGCACACCTTCCTTCACTGAACGTTGGTATACATCTTTGTTTAATATCTTACTTGTAAACACAAAGACACCTTTTCGTACACCATAGCTTGCACCGTAGATGGTAATAAATCCTCCATGCCAGCCTCGTGATTTCAGGGTCGAGAATGGAGCCGCCTTGATGACATGCAGGTGAGACTGATGAACAACTAAAATGAAAGCACTATTGATGGGACGGAGTGGTATAGATACAATATGCCGACTATATCTGATTAAGTTGCCGCTGCTCGCGTTCTCTGCTTAAGCGGGCACTGTAGGTTTTGCTAATTATGTTGACTGCGAGACCGTGAGCAGCTGCATGCCAGGGTATCTTGGTCAGACACTCACATGTTTCCAGGTAACGTTCGAGGCATCGAGACAAACATGTCTAGATATGAGAAAATGTCAACATCTACCTTGCGAACTCTGTGGGCGCACTCACCTCCTCTGAGCTAGACAAGGTGGTCCCAGGTTTCGCTATGCACTTAGCGAAGCATTTCTCGTTCGTTTTCTGAAAGCCTCTGTTACTGTGAACACTAGTAGCGATAGTAGGGACCACACATTTATAAGCTCCTGCGCGCTAGCAAGGGCAATCTCGGAGCGCACACCATTCATCACGGCTTCTTTTTTTGCAGTCATGTCTACAAAGTATGTGCTGAGTAGCAGTCAGAATATAGCTGCGTGTCACATACCTGACGGAGAACTAGACGATGACGACGATTTGAAGAAGTCGGACATGTTGCAGACAACGAGGAGCTAGTGGGATAGCTTAGAAAGTTCCTTGGAACGACTTGGTTGAACGAAAATTCAAGTTGATGAACCTTGAAGTGACGACGGGTCCTGTACGTGTGTGATTTCGGGAGCAATTGGACACTAATGGGCACGGAATTCTCTGTACTGCGATCGCAGTGATACTAAGAGCATACGTTCATGGGTGCACGCGAATCCACCGGACGCAACACGGAATCCGAAGATGCGGTCCCTGACTACTACGAGTTGCTGGGTGTCGAAGAATCGGCAAACGGAGACGAGATCAAGGTATGATACGGCTCACATCAACTTTTGTGTCGCTGATTCAGTGTCCGTGGTCTAATTATCCTCAAGAAAGCCTTTCGAAGATTGGCCCTTGTTCATCATCCTGACAAGAATAAAGATGATGTTGAAGGTGCTACCAAAAGATTCGCCGCTATTCAGCAAGCATATGAGGTGCGATTTCTCACCCTCAAGGTCCAAGGATGAGTCGAAGGCTCATCGCATGTCGGATCGACAGGTGTTGAGTGATGACCAGGTTGGTACCTGCTATTTATGCGTTCCTCTGTGTCGCTCCTGACTGTACCGTGCAAGTAGGAAAGAGCCTGGTATGACTTTCACAAAGCATCTCTGGCACCAGAACCTGATGCAGAGGCTGTCTTCGAGGACATCCGAAAAGGCGCCCCACCTCCCCGTGCCCGCGACCGGGGGCTGACTGTCAGACATCTCGCTCGATTTTTTGATGCGACAGTCTGGTCAGGCTTTGACGACAGCGAGAATGTGCGTTCCACGTATAATGCATTGCCCCCATGACCGCAATAATACATATACTATGATCACTACTCATACTCACCACCACCAGAGCTTCTTCACAATCTATCGCAATCTCTTTACACGCTTGGCACAGGAGGAGAACCTCATCTCCCAGATCGAGTATCCCAGCTTTGGAGACGCCTCCTGGCCTTGGTCCACACCCAAATCCACAAATACGCCCGCCGCACGCAATTTCTATAATGCATGGCTTAACTTCGCGACTCTCAAGGATTTTGTATGGACGGAACAGTGGAATCTTGCAGAGGCACCCGATCGCCGAGTGCGACGGTGAGTGATAGTGTCTTGTCGCATTATGTGGCTGAACACCTGTCAGGCTCATGGAGAGAGACAACAAAAAGGCCAAGGATGAGGCGCGAAAGGACTATAATGAGACTATCAGAGTGATTGCTTACAGCTACATCTTACTCAAACATTTTCTAAATTTCGGTGCGCAGCAACTGGCTACTTTTATTCGCAAGCGCGACCCGCGATACAAGATTCATCTCGCTGCACAATCTCAAGCCAACAAAGTCTTATCCGAAGCTAAAGCCCCCACATCTGGGTCCTCCACTCCACGCCCCCAGCCTGCCAAGCCTTATGTAGAGCAAGCTTGGCAAAGAACAGGCGGTATGGATCATGATGCTGATGCTGACCTCGAATGGGCGGCAGGTGAAGGTAACGCAGAGGAATGGGAGTGTGTTGCATGCGGGAAGACGTTTCGCAGCGAAGCTGCATGGGACAGCCACGAGCGTAGCAAGAAGCACATGCGTGAGATCGAGAGACTGAAGAGAGAGATGTGGCAAGAGGAAGAAGCACTCCAGCATGGGCTGGAGGAGGGAGAAAGCGACGAGATCCAGGAGGTGGATGGAGGCTTCGATAGCAAGTTCGTTCCTCCACCCCCACCAACGCCTCCAGAGCCGGTACTCGAAAATGTAGACGAAGATGAAGTTGGTTCACCCACAGAGGAACTCCCGGCTGAGGATGACCAACTAGTACGCAAAAAAGAAAAAAAGAAAAAATGCAAGCCCCAAACAAGACCATCAAGCGATGCGCCAGCATCCTCCCCCCCACCAAAAAGTAAGGATGATTCTCAGGAAGTGATGTCTTCCCAGCCTGAGCTTTCAAAACGGGAAAAACGAAAGCTTCGAGAGGCGAAGAAAGCCACCAATGTTGTCGAGGCAGAACACAGTATGGTCTGCATATCTCCATACGCGCAATGGTTCTCTTGTGTTGACATACTTATAGGTTTGCAACGTGTGCAAATCACCCTTTGAGAGCCGTACAAAGCTATTTACACACATCCGCGAAACAGGACACGCGCTTGCTGAATCCGCCGAAGAGCCGGCGCGAGGGAAGAAAGGGCGCAAGGGGCGATAGTGGTCGGGTTGACGATGAAGATCGCCATCGTATACCAGATAGAAAATGGGTCACCGGAACGCATAGCATCTTGACACCCTAGAACTTGCACTAGGATGTGCCAAGCTATGAGATATATAATCAGCTTGATAAAATGTCCAGTACAGATGATAAACACACAAGCACTCTACTAGAGCAGCATAAACACGACCAACGTAAACCCAACTATCCCATAAGCTGTGAAACGTCCTCTGGTGGGTATTTTGTCTGAGAGAACGTCAAGAGCCTGAGAGGATGCATCAGCCGAGTTGGCACTTGGAATGAAGCAGGAATGAAAAGGAAATGTACAAAAGAAATGAGACTAACCGTTTGAGGCTCTGTATATATTTCCTGCTGACTTCGTCATTCAGCACATGCGCAACCTGGTCTGTGGAGATCTTTTCGCGCGCGGAACGTTCATGGATACTAGCAAGTCATTTAAATGAGACGAACGTGATGGTAAGAATGGAGGACAAATGCGCACCCCACCATCGTAACACCAATCGGCCATGGCGCATTTCCAATGGACAGTCGAAGGTACGAGTCATTTGCTCTCTGATATTGCCGCTTTTGCATGTAATATACTATTTCAGCTATGCGTACAAGCATGTCTGGCGGTAGATTCTAAGACAATCGAGTGTCAGCTCAATGGTTCCACTTTTAAAATGAAAAAAGTCTGTGATGACAATGTGAAGTTTTTATAAGTGGCATAAAGTAAATTCAACATTATATGCAAAGACAAGAAATGAAATGATCGAGAAAAGTGGAAAGGTAGACTCACTCGTGAACGAAGTGTCTTAAACAGCGGCTTTAAATACTCGGCAGACTGGACTTGCGTTGCTGCAGCCAGTTTGCCCTGATGAGTCCGCTTGACGTTTTCTGTATCTCCTGTTAGACATAAATTTCACACCTGTGCAAGACATACCTGGTCGTTCATCCATTGCCTCCTCCCATTCTTTGAGCGTCCGCTTGAGTGCGTAGTATATGACGGGGTACAATTTGTCCGGATCCGTCTTTAATAACCCTAGATCCACCATGGCTACACTCCCGGCATTGTTGCTCACTTCTCCGTCATCTTTCTTCTTCCCCTTATCGTTTTTAGCCCTCAACTCCCTCTCAACACTCTCAACATCTTCCAGTGCCTTCCTAAAGTCATTTGTGCCAGCTTTCTCATGTCCGCGCTCTTCGATGAGTTCGAGAGCACGCAAACGCAGGCGCCGGTCGCGGTCGCTTTCACCAAAAAGTCGGATCGGCTGTCCTTTGGCTCGCAGTCTGCGGATGGCTTCATTGTTGGGAATGTTAAATGAACCCTCTAAAATTGTCGAGTCTGGGTCCTGACTTTCCGGTAAAGGGGTGTTAGAAGTGGAGCGCGAGGAAGTGTCGACCTGCCACAGCCCATGAACATACTAGCAGTAAATATGACAACATGATGTCACCTTTTTCTTCTGCTTGCTTCTGGTTAGTGCAGCGTCCCTCTCTGCCGCCTGCTCCGCTGCCCTTTCTTTTTCTTTCTCCTCGCGTGCTCGCCGATCTTCTTCTTCTTTCATGCGCTCAAGTTCACCGCGACGCACGTACTTGGACGGACGCATTTCTGCGTCATTCTGAACGTACTTGCGCTTGAGTGCAATTTCAGCTTTGAGAGCATCCATGATGATGTTTAAATAGGAATTAAGTGTCTGTGCAGTTGTGTCACGGTGAAGTCTAAGGTGACATGCTGACTAATCGACATACTCCGTCCAAACCCGACTCAAGTTTCTAAGACTGCATCCATCACACAAAAATGTCTGACTCTGAGGCTGCTGATCTGTCGAGGTCCGTCTACATTATTCTTGTCGGTCTTACTCTATGCTTATAGAGTATCAGCAAATACGTCCTTCAAACTGCTGGCTTTGACGGTGCGTCCTACCCTTCCTTAGTCCATGTTTTACTCCAGCTAACTGGTTTCGGTTGGATACAGCTCGCTTTCCGAACACCAACCAGACGCGTCACTGGTGAGTAGCGACTTATCTCTAGCATGCAGTGTGTGCTACATTACAACAGTTTCCAGAATTACACGGACTACTTTAAGTGCGTCGCCGCCAAGGGTGAAGACTTCGCACCATGCAAACAATTTAAGCGCGCCTACAACTCATTGTGTCCTAGTATGTTCCTTTTCTATTCTGTTGCGTTAATCGTCTTGACTCTTGTTCCTTTAGATGAATGGGTAGGTATTCAATACCTTGGTGCAGAGCTTGATTCCTTAAATATGCTGTCATGTCCAGGTAGCGAAGTGGGACGAGCAGAGGGAGAACGACACATTCCCTGCATCACTCGAGCCTTGATAGTTTATGCTCTTGCACCTTTCTATTCAATGATAGACTCGGCTTAATTCAGTGATTTTCTGCGAACCTTTGTACGCTGCTCCTACATTTCCAAGCTTTGGGAACAGTTTCCACTGCCACAATCTGTGATTTACAGGCTCTCGCTGTAAGGCCTTATTGGCAAATGAAATTGAAGTTCTGAGCTTGACTCCGATGTGTTGGTGGCACGTGAGATCATGATCACACCGATTTCAACTTAAGCCTCAAGACTTACGTGCATGTCCACACCAAACGATGGATGGGATCAACCTCAACGCTCTGAGCGAGAATGCAACACGCCTTGGGATGAGGATTCAAGAGACAATAGCTGAGCACACCCGGGATTTGTCGTTAACACGGGGCGGGAGCTCATTGTTTGACATGGCGGACGACAAGGCGAAGAATATAACAAAGCAGCTCGAATCAAGCAGCGACCGTGAAAAGCTGGACGCCATGAAACGATTGATCGCGGTTTGTGCCAGTCGGTATAACATCTGTATAGAAATTATAACATTGCTTCTCCTCAGCTCATCTCAAAGAACCGGCCAGTCTCCTCATATTTCCCTGCTGTAGTCAAGAATGTAGCCAGCCCGAACCTCGAGCTACGCAAGCTGGTGTACATCTACCTCCTTCGTTGTGCACCATCTGAACCTGATCTGGCATTGCTGTCGATCAATACTTTCCAGCGGGATCTCGCTGACCCCAGCCCTCTCATACGCGCTATGGCTCTTCGCGTGCTGAGCGGCATTCGCGTTCCTACTGTTGCTACCATCGTACTTATGGCTGTCCGCAAGTCTGCTGCAGACCCGAGCCCATATGTTCGCAAGGCAGCTGCGTTGGCCGTGATCAAGGTACACAAGTGAGCCTTACCTAGTTCAATATCCACTTCACGAATCACAAAACATATGTATGAAGAGTAGACCAGGCGCATCATCCAACTCTGCTCGATATTATGACAACTCTTCTGCGCGATCGCTCTCCGCTTTCACTTGGGACTGCTGTTCTTGCTCTCGACACCATTGCGCCATCTCGCCTCGACCTTCTCCACGTACATTTTCGCCGCCTCTGCCGTGCCTTGCCGGACATTGATGCATGGGGGCAGGTCGATGTCCTCCGCGTACTCGTGCGATACGTGAGGACCATGTTACCCAAGCCCGTTCCCGCCAGCGAGAGACAAGGCGAAGAGGTTGACAAAGATTTGAAGCTCCTGCTAGCCTGCGCGGAGCCACTTTTCATGAACAAGAACCCTGCCGTGCGCACACCGATCCACTTCCACCACGAAAATCTTATTGACTAAGCGATTAGGTTGTTCTTGCTGTCGCACGGGCATTCTACTACCTTGCTCCTTCATCGATGCTCTCAAAGATTAGCGCACCTCTCCTTCGCCTCCTCAGCGTATCGCGCGAGGTCGAGCGTGTAGCACTGGCTTATTTACTCGTCGTCGCACGTTCGCATCCAGTACGTGTGTCTGCTAAGATCTGGATTATAGCATTCATCGGTTGACTATTTCATTCTCCTTTCGACTTGATCTTGCATGAATTGCACATCCACCATCTTTGTGTCCATATTTAGGTTTTATTCATCACTTCACACAACCGCTTTCTCGTGCGCGTGGATGATGCAGAGCAGGTGAAGCGGAGAAAGATTTCTGTTCTCTTGGCATTGTGCACAGCTGACAATCATCAGACATTACTGCGAGAATTCATGGTACGTTTAGTTCACCTATTTGGAGGTAGGGGTTACTAATTGCCATTCTTTTTCCAATACCCTTTGACTCCACGCCTGGCATTTGATCATATGTCGTTATCTTTGCCCTTACTGTTGAACTCCCATCGGGTATACAGGACTATGCTCAAGACACAGATGACTCTGTTGTGGGAGATGCGATTCACGCCATTGGACGCATTGCCAGCCTCGTTCCTTCATCCACGCCTCAATGCCTCACTGCACTCATGGGAATGATCAACAGCAAGCAAGGTCGGCACGGTCTTTGGATCTCCTTATATTTCGAATTTACATGATTGCATAGATACCATCGTCTCAAATGCAGTCCTCGTTCTCAAGTCCCTCGTCCAAAATCAACTTCTCACACCTTCCTCTACCTCAACCACGACCCTCCCAACTCCTTTCTCGTCGCAGCAAGCTCTCCTTGCATCATCCATTCCCTCGCTGACGCCATCAATCTCCACTTCATTGTCAGCTGCACCTTTGTCCTTCACGAGCACGGAGTCGACCTCCGTAGCTCAGGCCCCACTTTCCATTATTGCCCAGCTGGCCCAGCGCATTGACGATATCCGGCACCCCCACGCGCGGGCTTGCGTGCTATGGCTCGTCGGTCAATACGGGTCAGTCACAGGCACGAAAACAGCGGTTGAAGGTGTGGCAGACTGGGCGCCAGATGTACTGCGCAAGGCAGCGAGGAGCTTCAACACTGAGGTGGGTTTTAACCCACTTCATAATATCCCTGCTCATGCTAACTCATACCAGGCTTCCCTAGTCAAGCTTCAGACACTCACTCTTGCCGCGAAACTAATACTGCTCGCGCCCACGCACCGTACACTGGTCTTACTGGCACAGTATGTTTTCACACTAGCTCGGTACGATGAAGACTGGGACGTGCGTGACCGCGCGAGGATGTTGAGGACACTTCTTGTTGGTGCAGTTACGGGTATTATGAGCAGTAATGATGAGGATGGCGTCGGGGAAAATTGGAACAAGGAAGAGCAGG